GACGGTTGTTTGCAGGTTTTTAGACAGATACAGATGTTAACAGACAGTCACAAGGGCAAAAACAGGAGATGGCAAAAGCAGTGGTGCATGGTGTGATGCATGTAGGGAAAGGGGGGGGGGATGGTAAAGGTCAAATGAGGCCATTTCCAAAAAAAAACTAGTTTATCCTGTTGTATACCTGCATACCAGGTTAAAATGTCAGCGTGCGAGAGGGGTCTTGGCTTGCTTGTGTCCTTGAGCAAGGAAGTTTACTTCAATTGCTTCTCAGCATCTAATATCAAACCCTTTCAGTTAGAAGGGCTTGAAGATTCGACCTCAAACTTGAGGGAGGGGAGAGGAGGGCTTAGAGCACAATATCCCCGCCCCGTAATTCTGCCAGACCTGCTGAACTTGCACACTTTACATTTAAACATCTGAGGTCACTTCAGTCCAAAAAAGCAGTTAGACAAATTTTTGTTTTAAACTTTATAGTTCTTTCACGGTAGAAATTATCATGTTGTTCAAGATGACTGAATGCTTGCATGAAAACAAGTGCATACATGTAGTATCCATGCACAATTAATGGGGGATTTAAAACAACAGCTTTTGGACTATTTTCTTTAAATTTTCAACAAATACTCAACTCTGTTTTATTAAACAAAAATCAAACATGACAGTATCAAAAACTGCCCATTTTATATAAAATCTCACCAACAATAACGATTGACTGCCTAAGTACATGTGCATCTCATCTTTGTTCTTTGTGTGTATGCACAGACACTAAGGCTCCGTCTGAGAGGATGAATCATCAGTGTATGTCTTTGCCTAGGGTGCATATAAGACCATTAGCGTTTCAAACATTGCCGCAGTTAACAGCTATGTACACACGTACAGTGAATCCAATCTCAATTATTAAAATGTGTGCGCCAGAGCCACGGAATAAAAACGATTTGTTTCATGGCAGATGGCAAACCAAGAACGAACAATTTTTCTTGAAAACGAGACGAGGCAAGCCTTGTAAAGCAGGTCCCAGAGCGCACACAATTCCATTCAATTGATTCAGAATGACTATTCACGGAAAGTCTTTTCATGGATCTGGTCTACGCAATGGGCCGGATTTAGCCCATTCAGTGGTGTTACGGGGTAATCCTATACAATAGCACTGCCCGGCCCTCTTCATCAGCCAACAACCAGTAAGGGTGTCTATATTCGAATAGTATTTGATTATTCGAAACTACATTTGATCAAATATATTCAAATATTCAAAACCCACCGATCATGTATACAGCCCTCGAGCCAGCTGCAACTGCGTGTGGCGCCCGTCAAAAGCTGCATGCAAAGGGTAGGCCCCTACCGGTTAAAATTTGCGTGCGGCGATCGATACTATGGGCCGCTATACCGGTAGTGTTTTGCAGTAAGTATTTTATAAACTGTCAAGGGATTTAACCTGCTAAAAAGAGGAGAGCAACGGACCACCGTAGACAAAAAGTTACTGTCAACAAAAAGTTGAATCTGACAATAATAAAGTTGAACTTTACGATAAAAATAACATCAATGTCGTGTGCGTGCATAGTTTTTAGAATATTCTTACCAGTAAAAAGCTATTCAAACATTCGCTGAAATCGATGAAAATGGATAAAATGTCAGACAGATGCATGTTTAACTTTCTACAATAATAATGTATTTCTCTCAGATTCAAAAATCTGATTTCAGACAAAAGTCCGACAAATCTCATGCCTCGTTAAAAAAGAAATCCTCAATCTCATGCCTCGTTACAAAAGAAATCCTCCAAAATATAATCCTTAGCTTTATTGTCGTGGGTTCTCAGAACTTTTACAACCTAACCAATAACCATATTATTCTGAATAACCCTGGATGTCCCAATTTTGTTTAACCTTTTTAATCCTATACGAGGGATATCCTGCGTATTTGTTTCGCGTTGTCTGATCCTGTGGTCTAGTGATCTCCGGCAGTTTTCTGCGTAATCCAGAGGTACATGTACTGGTATGATGTTTTATCATGGTACCGGTAGATAGTGAAAGTTTATCAATTGAGGACTGTTCGCATGACGTGTTTCAGAAGTTTAAAGCTATAGTCCATCATTTACAGCTATCCGAAAAGTAACTGGCGTAATTATTGTTGAAAAACATACTTGGTTGAAAGATAGTAAGGGGACTAAACTCCCTGTGAAATTATTCATTCTGGCGGCAAGCTGTCACTTTGAAGTAATCAACGAAAGAAGGCCTTTCCAACGGTGCGTCTTAAGACGCACCGTAGGAAAATTTAAATTAGTAGTTCGTTTTGTTATTCGACGCAGCACGCGCAAGCATTGGCACGACGCACACGCGCGCGCGGTTGCTATAATTCGTCGGATCAGTGCGCGACATCGCGTATAGCTACAATTCAAAACAAATTCAAAACATGATTCAGCAACTTTTGATATGAAATTGAGATCCTAGAATGCTGTTTTTCTCAGAATATACAGCTGAAGCTGAGCTGAAACTTCATCGGGTTAGTTGTTCAGTATCCTTCATTAGATTTTGAACACTATTGTTGCTTCAAACGAACAAAATGCACAAATTACAAATGATGGACTGTATCTTTAAGCATAGCCACCTAAAGATCTCCGCAAGTACCCAAGTACAGGTACTTTTTCTGAAAGGCTTTTGAATTGTTGATTTTTCGTACTCACTGCTTTGTGTGCATACCAGTATGAGATCACGCTATCACTGTACACTCACACGCCCCCCCCCCCTTCCCTTCAATGGCGAAGCATTGTGCTAGCTATTGTTTGGATAACCCATCATAGGGCAGTTGCTTTGTACAATAGCTTACACAATGCTTACACCATTGAAGGGGGCCACCATAAAAAATGTACAGTGAAGTACCGGTATGCTTGAATTGTCTACAGAAAAGATGCCAAAAGACACATGGGTTTCAAACAAAGTTGGCTAATGAAGCCGAACAGATTTTCTTTCCTTTTTTTAATGCTTTTTCCATTGAAGGGGGCCACAATAAATGTACCTCTAGTGAAGCTTGCCTGGATTGATCTATCCCTCCGTTCACAAGTACCCCCTCACCGGCAAAGAAAGTACAGTTGGGGGTGACCGATCGACACCATCTTGCCTGACTGCAATATTTTGCCGCAAAGCGCGGACAACGCACTGCTACCATACCTAGTACAAATCCCCTGGTGTATATGCGTCACACACAAGGAATGGTGCGCGCGCGTCAACCAACGAAATGTATGTGTTCCGTCCATGGGACGTCGTTGCTTGGTAAAAGGGCGCCCTCTTTTGTTGGCGTAGGAGCCCATAGACCAACTGCCAAAAGGCAAAATTCTAAGCAACTTTCAAACAAAGTTGGCTAGCTCTTGCAGCCGAACGGATTTTCTTGTTTCTTTCTCAGAAAATGTGGGCGTCCATCTAAACTTCTCGATCAAGTACAGAGTAAACAGACGAGGGCTCCCTTGCTGTGATCAATGGTATAATTGAGAATGGGGAAGGATATCCACGCACATCCGATTCAAATCTTGGCAAGTTAATGAGAACTGATCGCTGTAGTAAAGTTCAAAGGGTCGACAGAACTACCGGTACACATATGCACGCAATCTTTAAAGAAGGGGAAAAAACGTCGCTTTGGAAGGCCTCGGATTTCCCCCACATTTCCTCTACCGCAGGCATAAACATAGAGGAGCAGGAAAATGTATATTTGGATTTCGAAGAAATCGTTTGGAAGGTTTTAGCCTATGTTTTAGGCCAAAAGTTTTGGGTGATTCATAGTTTTGTCTGTAGTGACTCCCAGAGGGATACATATACATACCGGTATATGTGCAGGGGGAGTAAAAAAAATGAAACCCAAATGTCTAGACCATTGTTTAAGTGAAGTTCTGCATTCGCCTATAGCACTTTCAAAATCTAGGGTGTAAAAGCCCAATTCATAAGCTTTATTTTAGTACAAGAATCATTCAAATCGCTCATGTACTTTTTTGAAGTTGCCAAATTTTAAACACAACCACCGTTTTAATGTTCTGTACACGGATCGCAGAAAAGGTGTAAGGTCTTTCAGCAAAACAAAAGAAATCACATAGTGATGTTATCCCAATCGTCATGCTACGTGTTATTAATGTCTTTCATGTATTGTTATTAACTTAACAACTTGTTACTTAATAATATAGACTTATTGTATAGCATGTTCTATAGATCAACTTTCTCTCAAATAAGTCTTCTTTCCACCCAGACGGAGCCATGATGTCAATACTTCAAGTTCATACCAAAAAACAACTTTGAAAGTTTTCAGAAGAACTAATGTCAGAAATATGGTTTAAAAGCATGTACAATTACTTCCCTCAGGAAGATTTTACACAGACACTTGGCATCAAACATAAACACAAAGTCATATCCGTTTTTGTGTCTTGATCTTTTAAGTTTTCACAGGAACCAATGTAAAAAAAAAACCACAAGTATTCTAAAAGCAAAAAGAAGTCCGAAGATTTTACTGAAAGACTTGTCACTGGAGATGAGCATCAAAGTAGCATTCCCCCATGTTAATTTTCAAGTATCATCCTGAAAAACTAGATTCCTTGTCTAAACTGCTAAATATATTTGTCTAGCAATACAAAAGTGATTCACTTTTGAATGAGACATCGACCGTAACAATTGTCCCATGTTCAGTTATTGAATTATTACTTTACGATTTGCAATTATTGGCCACCAGACCATAATTCCATCCTCGCGGGTAGGCTAATTCCCAGGCAGTCCGTTCGCAAAGGGGATGTATACTGCCTAATGCAACAACCATTTTTTCCGAGGGTTGCAGACATATAAAAAAAAAAGGAAATGGAACTTTTTGGTTGGAATAACACATACAAGTCGAAAAAACATTTAATAAAAAAAAAAAATTGAATTTGTTGAAGAGCATTGAGAACGCAACTTGAAAGTAAAATCAAAAGTGTCTTCCCCTTTTTTTCTTTGTTTATTGCTGGACATCTTACACTAACTACCGGGAAAAAAACAACTCACCATTAAATGCAACAGCTATGCCAGCCTCTACCCATATCACCATCAGTAGAGTTAGTATCATCCTGGCAGAGGATGTCCGAGCCATGGCTGTCCGCGTGCTGACGTCTAGGATATGCGAGTCGTTGCTTCTAATGCAATCTACTCTCAGCCTGTTGACACCGACCGGTGATATATCACTACACTGCAGAGGGGGAGTGATGTAGTTTGGATACGGGGGTGAGAAAATAGGGGAAGAGATGAGGGCGAGTGGGTGGGGTGTTTAAGGGGGCGGGGAGGGGGTAGCAAGAAGAAGAAGAGAAAAAAAATCAAGCCGTCAACAATCAAATTACACATTTTTTTGACAAGTTTCCATTAATATATTGTGCTAATGGCTAATATGTCAACGACTTTGAAGAGACTAGTAAAAGTTCTTTTGATTTGATAGCAATGAGCGGCCTTTTTCAAGTTTGATCGGATCTGATATTTAGGCTTGGTGCATTCAGCGTTGCCGGGTAGCATTTGAGAGTAATGTACATTTTGTGTCATTATCGTCTTGTTGTGTGAACAACTCTTTGAGCCAGACTGTAACAGCGGGTACAATATATACAGATCCCGATATGAATTATTTTGTCTCCGTGTTATCCACTCGAGAATATATTGTTACTCTGTTGATAAATCTTGTTTTGAAGGATGACATTTCGGTATGAAATGTTATCAAAAGGTCAGATTATCGTTCAACATTAAGAATTGTCTTAAAGGGAATATACATCATTTGCTTTTGCTGTAATTTTCAGAAATGGATGGAATTGGGGGGTTGGAAATATATAGCAAATATAGTTACACTGACTTTTTTGAGGTTTTGGGTTCGAAAATGCTATAAAAACCAAGAAAAACAATCATTTTCCTGTAGTCTGGTAGATTGACTCCATTTAAGAAGAAACGGAGCAGTTTACATATATTGGGGAATTGTAAGGTCAGGGAACCAGTCTAGCTGGCTTGTACCCGTTCATAGGTGTATAATCGATTGCAAACAAGTGCGATGGTCAACTGGGGCCAGTATTTGAAAAAAACCCAGTTTTTTCCAACGCTGATCGGCCGATCAGCGTTGGAAATTGATACAAAAATACCACTTTTCTTGAAAATGACAGTATACCAGGTGCCATGATTTTACAGGATGCTTTACACTGGCATTCACTAACAGTCCAGCAAGGTATTTCAAAATGATTTGGTAATTTTATTTTTTGATGTTTGCAAATGTTGTATTTTCCCTTTAATAAAACAATTCCAAAAGGATATTGTATCATACACACATTGTTCTGTATATTCTTTTGGCATGAAATATACTTCACAAAAATCTAAGATTCCTTGAAGTTGTCAATAGCACTGTAGCTCACAAGCCTGAAAAAAAAAAAAAACGGTGAAAAGATGAAGAAAGTGAAAATGTCCACAGAAGTGGGTGGAAGCCCCCGGAATGATTTTCTGAGGAATACCCACACGATCTGGAACAGACGGAAACCCAATCTTCACGTTGGTTAAAAGAAGGAATCGAACCTGGATAATATGCACGCTCCTATTGGTTGGGGGGGGGGGGGAGGAGAGAGATGGCGAGCAGCTGATGTCAACGCCTCCCCCACCCCACACCACCCCCAACACCGTCTAAATCTTGAATTACAAAAAATATAAACATACAATGTACTGCACTGTTGAAATGATATGTTTCAGTGCCTCCCTTGAAAAATTGATGCACCCAAATGCCCCCCTCCCCCAAGAAGTTTGACCCTAGATCCACCGCTGACTTGGGGCCGAGCTGTATGTACATTTGTGTACATGTAGGTGTGTTTTACTGCTCTAAAACTTCTCATGTATTTCAGTCTTTGATGGTACATGAATGTCTTAATTGCTCAATTCTCTCAATGCTTTCAATCGGGTATGCATTAATTAGCTTCTTATTGTACATTCTTGCAAATGCTATTTAAAATACCTTTTCATAGCGAACAATAAAATTTCAATGATAATGGACCTACATGTATGAAGAAATCTAATCTAGTCTTTTCTAAATATCCATGACGCCCCTAAAATGCATTGTACATGTACATGTACTTGTCTAATTAAGCAATAATTTGGATTAAAAAAAAGACGATTAGCATTTTCCGTTGCCTTGAGCGCAGCTTACTGCTTGCCATTATGCCTGCCAACCAGACGCCGCGAGTCCCCATCCATTTTTCAAACCTTGCTAAAATAACCTTCACCACAGGAGCCTTTACTTCCCTTTTTAATGATACCGGTACCTCCAACTTGTCATTAATTTTTTAAAGCAATCAAGGTAATTGGCCTCTGCCTGGTTTAGTGTGGCCTGCGTTGTCGTTTGTTTCCACCGTTAAAGATACACTCTCCCCATGGTCCACATTATTTTTGAGTTTCACCATGCAAAATAGATCTTTTTGTCTTTCTAAATGCTTTTTCTAGCAGTGCAAAAGCTATTCACTTTTGAATGAGATACTAGGCGATAAACAATTGGGTCATGTTTACTTGGAATAATCACAAATTCTAATTTACCCGTTATTGCAGCCCAACAATACATTTCAGTTCTTGCAGGTTAGGCTTGTTATATTGTATTTTCAACAATCCAATGAAATGTTCGGCACCACCTTACGATGCAAACATGGTCACAATGTTGAATGACATGTGTAATTGTATTTTTAGTGCAATATTGTAGTAACAATTTGTTTGTAAGCCAACTTTTTCTGCTTTATTTTGTCATTACTGTTTTACTCTTGTATAAATTTGTTTTAACTTATCAGACATTGTTAGTCTTTTAACTTGCTGTTTGATATTTTTGTGTAATTTTTGTGAAAAAAAACATACATTCTGTGCCAAGTTGTCCTCTTAGTCAAAATCAATCAAGTGACTGTTTTCAACAGGTAAGAGCTCCCAGCCTACATAAAGCAAGATTGAGTGGCTGTGACTGTTCATGTAACTTGTTACAGCTATGCCTTGACTGTAGGTGATCGATAAGACAGCTGTGCCAAAAGTTGCCTGCTTTTGTCTGTTGACTGAATTTGACTAGTCAGAGTGCTTGTTAAAATATGATCTGACTGTTGGTGACTAAATGTAGCTTGTGTAACAGGCATGGCAAGAAAGTGGATCAACGTTTTGACTGTCTGTGACTGTTTAAACAGTAGGAGGGTTAATTATTTATTTTTTTTGTGCAGTGTTGGCCTGCCATAGTTTGCAAAAGTGCCAACCACAGCTTGGCACACACACTCTCAAATTTGTATCCTTGTGGAGACATTTCTTTGTTCTCGTGTAGTAAAGTTTTCAATTTTGAAAGTGAAGTTTCAAAATGCTCTTATTTTAACCAGAATTAATTTCCTTGGCTGAAATTCGGACTTAATATCCCTTTTCTAAAACTCTTCCATTTGCGACAGATCAACCCACCTTGGAAATTCCTTGTTTTTGAGTAAAATCCATATATCTATTTCGTGAAAACCTGGTGGAGACCTATTTATCTATAGAAATTGCCTTGTGGAGACCTTTACAATGTTTTGTTCCCTATTGTGTGCGTGTCTCCACTTGAGCACTTTTTACCAACCACAAAAAGTGGTTGCCAACCTGTGCCGACCACTAGTTAACCCTAACAATCCCCATCCAGTCAAACTCCAACACCAGGGTTTGTTGGAATCTGTTGGAGTGAGTACTGCACTAGTAAACTGATTATGCTTTACATGGGGTCAGGCATACCACCATAATCAGAGTCCAATAGTTTGGGTGTAGAGTTTACCATATGGTGTTGGAATTTGCTGGAGGGAGGAAGGTTCCTAGTAAATCACTCAAGGGGTTAGGTATAATTAAATATAGGGGCCAGAAACTCCTTTTTCAAAAATTAATGCATTAAAGAGCACACACAGTGCATCTTTAAATCCTCAATTTCTTAATGTATGACAATATATACAATCTATCATGCATAAATATTTCATCATCGCCTCGAACCATTGGCACGAACACTGCATCATAAAAAAATTTTTTACGGGGAACCTACATGTACCGGTAGGCCTACATATGTACAAAATTAATTTTATTAGTTTGCCAATTCATGCATGGTATGAACATTGGCAGCCTTCCATTATCAACGCACGACCCCACTTTATTTCTGCTTTGTAATTTAGACATTATGTACGGTGTAAATTAATCCACCACTTTCAATCTGCCACGCAAATCCAAGCACATTCTATATGTTGATTTAACGGAGTGGACTTCAAAAAACCGGGTGATATTTCAGTTCAAAAGTTCCTGTTTTGTCAAGAAATTAATCCAATGAATCAAATGAATACACTGTATTATGTTGGTTGTTTTCCAGGGTAGCCGGAAATCCGACATATTATTGTTTTAGGCAATGGTTGTTTTTTTTCAAAACAGATCACTTTCCTTTTTGTCTTTTCAAAAAGATCAATTTCTGTTTGTGGTGGATTATGTGTTCAGCCTGAATACATTTCAGCCGAATTTGATTTCAAAAGGAAATTCCGTTTCATCCATTTTCTGGTAAAAGTGGAAAGGAAAAAAAAGCAATATGGCATCTATAAACGAACCTGGATCCATATGGATTACTTTATCTTTGCATCAATACCGTGGGTATTTCTGCCCCCCCCCAAAAAAAAAAATGCTAAAAAACATTATTGTCAAAGTAAAACAGCTTCTTTACTGAAAGAAAATGATTTCAAGAAAATGATTTTAAGTTACTCTCACTGTACAATTGTAATTAATAGGGGATTTCAGAAATGACAATAAATCATCGAAAGCTTAAATCTCAATTTGTTTTAAAAAGGCCCTACATGTATAGACGTTAAGTTTTCAGTACCACATTGACACACAAAGAAATAGCAACTCCTTTAAAGTTTAAATGTATGTTCACATACCACCAGACAACCAACAAAAAATGCAGAGAATTCAATTCAACTGAAAAGTTGGATAACTAAAAAAAATATGAAAATAGAAAGAACACAGGGAATTCTGTCCAACCTTCCTTGAGAAAAAAAAATATCTCAATTTACATGTACACATGTTTGTATTAAGCATAATGTGAAACATAATGTGAAACATGTGTCTTCTGAGTATACCCGGTATGTACGTACATCAAGCATCTTGGTAACATTGTGTATCACATAATTTTACCTTGAAAAACATCTGAACCCAATCTAGAGCTGA